TGAATAGAGATTAATGGTTTTTGGGACCTGACGAGCTACTGAAGTGTGAACAGGGTAATATTTTGTAAAGGGATTCAGGGAAACCGGTTAGCCGGACTTGAGTCTTGGAAATGGGAGGTACAATGCCTGCACTTTAACCCTTTGACTGTTTCAGGCCCCTCTCTGAAACTGTCATTCTATGTCGCTCAATTTTTGAAAAAAAAAAAAAAAAAAAATTATTTTTTCTTATGAAATGATAGAGAATCTTTTCCTGATGGTAATGACACCAAACGTTCGAAATTTGGTCGAAAACTCATGGAATTATGCTCCCGCGAAGTTAGCGGTCTCGGCGACATATGCGTATCGGCGATTTCGCCAACTTTGAGCCCTATTTTCAGCCAATTCTGTTGTTCCAGTTGACCAAACTCATAGCTATTTCTTTAGAACTCCATTTTATCTATCAGCTGAGTACAAGAAACCTCCCATTTACTAATTTGGACTACCCAATATGGTGGTCAGAAATTGGCAATTTGGCCAATTTCACGCAAACTAAAAAAAACCCCAATTTCAAAATAGGGTCCAGAATAAACAAGGTAGACATTTGTGGCACTAAAATAACATATGCTCTGTTCATTAGTCATATCTCTAGGCCCCTCTTATATTATTATTGCTTTCTATTTTGATTTTTTATTCATAAAAAAAATACAAAATTTACTGTTATGCAGACTACTGCATTATTGTAAAAATGGTATAAATAATATCAGTGCCCTAGTGAAAGAATATTAGACTCCCCAGTTGACGTGTATTGGACGTGTGGTGTGATTTATTTACTCCTGAACATAGGTAAAAATCGAACATTTCCGCTACTTTGAGCTCAGTTTCAAGGTCATTTTCATTGTCAAAGTAATGAAAATCATCTCTATTTCTGTAATATGTTTTCCATTTTATCACCTAAGACCATGAAAACGCGAATACAACGATAAATACTATACGAAAATACACCTCAAAGTCGGCGTTTTATTCCAAAAAATGATCAGAGTTTTTTTTTTCTCATTATGCAATGTGTGCTGCAGGATTTTTTTTATGTGGTGCACACTGACCACACAGACCCATTCTCTCACATGTGGGCCTACCAGCTTTCTCCCTCTTGATTTGAAGCCGCTAGAATTATTGAGTATATATGTCAGAAACATTGGCTCGTAAGACGTATTTATACGTCGAAAACAGTCAAAGGGTTAAAGGAGAGGTTTGGAATAGTGGCAGTTTGGAAGGACTTCTAAACTGTTGTATTTGAGTGCCTCTGCAGAGACAGTGATCATGTATGAGTGATGGTGAAAGTGTTGAATGATGATAAAAGTATTTTTTTCTTTTTGGGTTTTTCTTTCTTTTTAGGTCACCCTGCCTTGGTGGGAAACAGCCGATGTGTTAAAAGAAAAAAAAAAATTATCAGAATTCTCCATGGGGAAGTGGAACAAAATTCTTCCTCCATAAGCCATGTGTGTCTTAAGAAGTGACTAATATGCCGGGAGCAAGGGGCTAGTAACCCTTTCTCCTGTATATATTACTAAATTTAAAAGGAGAACGTAACTACTGTGTTATCTGACAGTCAACTGTACTTTCCCCTTTTTTTCCTCCTTGGACATGGTTGTCTTCATAGGTGCCTCAGTACACCACCCATCTTTTTATTCCTTATCAATTCTATAGTTCACATCTTTCCTAGACACATCTGCCAACATGTCCACTCCAAAATATCTGAACATATTTACAGTTTGGAGAGATATATTGTGTATTTTTATATATGTATACTTATAAGCTGTTGTATTCTGACACCTCTGCAAAAACAGTGATTATGTGTGAGTGAGGTGAAAGTGTTGAATGAGGAGAGTATTTTCTTTTTGGGGATTTTCTTTCTCTTTGGGTCACCTTGCCTCGGTGGGAGACGCTGACTTGTTAGGAAAAAAAAAAATTTACAGGTCTCCCTCAACATTCACGTTTTCCACTTTCACGGGCTTCGAACATTTGCGAATTCCCAGCCGCCCAATTATACATAAAATATGTCATTATACATGTTAGGAATTGTAGCAGTGGCAGAGTTTGGAGATAGGACAAGATAGTCCTTCAATATGACATTAATATCAACTATGGCTTATTTATCTAACATAATTCATCTAATATGACATAATAAACAATATTAACGCTTTCAGGGTTTTGGCTGTACTAGTACGGCTTACGTGCCAGGGTCCTTGACGTACTAGTACTCAAATTCTAGCGCCTTCAAATCTAGTGTGAGAAAGCTGGTAGGCCTACATATGAAAGAATGGGTCAATGTGGTCAGTGTGTGCAGTATAAAAAAAATCCTGCAGCACACAGTGCGTAATGAGAAAAAAAACTGACCATGTTTTTGGATTAAAACAGCGACTTTGCACTGTATTTTCGTATGGTATTTATTGTTGTATTCTAGTTTTCCTGGTCTCATTTGATAGAATGGAAGACATATTACAGAAATTGAGATGATTTTGACTGGTTTTACAACGAAAAGTACCTTGAAATTGAGCTCAAAGTAGCAGAAATGTTCAATTTTTACCAAAGTTCAAAAGTAAACAAATCATGCTAAGCGTCCAATACACGTCAACTGGTGAATCTAATATTCTTTCACAAGTGCGCTGATATTATTTATACCATTTCTACACTAATGCAGTAGTCTGCATAACAGTAAATATTTTATTTTTTGTGAGAATAAAAATTCAAAATGGAAAGCAAAAGAAATGTAACAGAGGCCTGGGGACGTGACTAATGAACAGAAGAAATGTTATTTTAGTGCCAGGAATGTCTTTGTTTATTCTGGACCCTATTTGGAAACTGGCATCTTTTGAAATTTGTGTGAAATTGGCAAAATTGTTAAATTCTGACCACTGTGTTGGATAGTTGAAATCGGTATATGGGTGGTTTCTTGTACTCATTCGATAGAAAAAATGGAGTTCTAGCGAAATAGGTATGATTTCTGTTGACTAGTACACTGGAATTGGCTGAAAATAGGGCTCAAAGTGGGCAAAATTGCCGATAAGTAAACATCGGTGAGACCGGTAACTTCGCGAGAGCATAATTCCGCAAGTTTTCCATCAAATTTCATACTTTTGGTGTTGTTATGATCAGGAAAAGATTATCTATCTTTTCATAAGAAAAATTAATTTTTTGGGGGGGAAATTTTGGGGACCCTGAGAACAAGTCTCTGAGAGGGCCTGTGGACCCTGAAAGGGTTAACATAGAAACATGACACATACTCTAAAATGAATAAAATACACCTACCATCCGACTTACGACCTGCTCGACTTACGACCACTCTACTTACGACCGTGTTTTTTATGCCAAATTTCTGGGAAATAAACAACTGTATTTGTATTGTACACAGTGTTTATCCTAAACCTTACAGTATAAAATACAGTACTAACAACATAAAAAGTAAAGTAAAACATGAAATACCAAAATAAAACAAAATAAAGTCATTACAAAAATGTTTTGTTGATATTCAGTAGTAAAGTTCGACTTACGACTGGTTTCTCGGAACCAAACTCGGTCGTAAGTTGGATGGTAGGTGTACGTCATTAAGTCACGAGTGTTGCTGTGTTGTTGTTGGGTGTATAAGGGCCACTGAGACAAGCCTTACATAGTGGTGGTGGAAGAGGCAGCAGAGGCGGTAGAGACTAGAGACAGCGGTGTTATCAGTCAACCTATATAACGCCAACAACATTGGAGTTAGGTTCGTGCTGTCCTTTTTCTATCGATTAATCGCTTAACATAACATACTTGCTACACTGCTAATGCCACAATTTATCGCTGGCTTTACTGACTCGTGCTGCTTTAGTATCGTACATGTTGTAGAATCACCAAAGAAGGCACATTCTTCCCTCTCTTTTCCTCCTCCACTTTGTTACTCTGCTATGAGTCCTTTCTTGAATTTTATAGTTTTTCTCACCTTTACCAAAAGGCTGGCACTAGTACAATATTTTACTATGTTTTCATGTGTTTTATGATTGCTCATGGTTCAATAGGTTAAGGAAGCAGTACTGTTAGGCTAAGTAAATGTTATCATATTTCCTTAAATATATTTGTGTGCCAAACATTCGTGAGGTTCTTGATCCCCTAATCCTAGCGAATGTGGAGGGAGACCTGTACTTCCTCGGTGGGAAATGGCCGATGTGTTAAAAAAAAAAAATTACTTCCTCTATACTCCCTCTCACCAATCTAATATCCAGTGTTTCACTGCCTAGTTATTTTTACCCTCATAATCTAGTCTTTCCTATATTCACTTTTAATTTCTTTCTTTTTGATATGCCCTCCTAAATCTGTGCAACAAACTTGGCAACTTCTCTTCATAATATCTCTCTCTCTCAAAAAAAAAAAAAAAAAAAAAAAAAAAACATGCTAATGGCAAAAAAGAAATTGTGACAACTCCTGTATTGATTTGTAGTAGTGGTAGTAGAAGAGGTGGTAGTAGTGGTAGCATCAGTTGTGAAATTTTCAGAACACTTTGACAATAGTATTATTTGTTTGAGGATGAATTCTGTATATACTTTTAAGCAGGTACTGTACTGTGAATAAAGCACCAATAGGTGTCTGCACCTCACTACAAATCCTACTGAATTCCTGTATCATATTTATCCTGGCTTTTGCCAAAAATTTAACACACTCAAGAAGGGAATTAATATCTATGACACATTTTTAAATATATGAATAAAAATGGGTCCAAACTACATTTACAACCATTAACCTTTAAACTGTCCAAACGTAGATCTACGTTTTTTCAACATTTGAATGTAAAAAAAACGTAGAGCTTAGTTTTTTTTTTTTTTTACATTTGAAAACGTGTAAAAAACTTAGATCTACTTTTTTTTTGTTATTTTTGAAAATATGTAAAAAAAAAAACGTAGATCTACTTTTGGAGCACTACGCATGTGAACGTAGATTTTTTTTTGGACAGTTTAAGGGTTAGATAAAAAAACAAATGCATGCTGAACACTTACCTTAATAGTGGTGAGATCCATTGGGTAGTCAATAATTAAAGCATACATAGGATAAACGTTGAGATCGACAGGGACGAGGAAAGGTTCAGCGATAGCCAGACTCATGATCTGGGAGAGCCCATACGAGATTCGGTCACACTCAAGATCTGGGCCCCGGCCCACCCATTCTTCATCTTGTGGAGTGTAAAGTAGCTCCTCAAGTTCCTCTTGTTTCACAGCTGCACTACCATCTGGCTCCACCATCTCCACTGTATAAGTAAAAATTAATTACACTGGCACATGCAAATACAAAGGCTAGGCAGATAGCAAAAGACCTTATAGTTCACATCAAAATTGCCTGCCAAGAGACTAACTACAGTTCAGCTGCCTCTTTCTCTAAATAGTTGAGGTAAGGATAGTACAGCAAAAAATTCTCTCACTGACCTCCACTTCCTCTATCCATACTGCCAGCTTGACAAAGTGGGTTAAAAATTTTCTCTTGGTGGACTGACTTTTTTTTTTTAACTCAATGGCTGTCTCCTGCCAATGAAGGGTGACCCAAAGAAGAACACAGAAAAACAATCACTCAACTGCAGTCTTTCCAGAAGTGTGCTGACATCACAACCAGATTACCCTCTGACTGAATCACCACCACCTGTCCTTCAGAGTGCAAGCACTTCTCTTTCCTCCTCCAGGACTTGAGTCTGGCTAATCAATTTTCCCTGAACCCCTTCAAAGCTACCCTGCTCACACTCCAACAGCAGTTCCATTAAAGCTTCTAACATAATTGCGTAAGTCTGCTAGTTGCTCAAGCCCCTAAAACTCAAAGCCTATTGTTATTTCCTCTTTCCAATTGCTTCTGGGATGACCCATTCTCTTTCTACCTTCCAACACAGATTTATACACCTTTATCAATCAATCCCTCTCTATCCTCTCTACATGCCCAAACCACCTCAACAATCCCACCCTCACATCACTTCAATTTTTATATTCCAAATTCTCTGCATGATGTTCACACTACACACTTTCAAATATGACATCTCTGCTGCCTCTAGCCTCCTTTTCACTAAGAATTCAAAAACCTGTCTCACACCCCCACAAATGCTGGTACCACAACATGCTGGCATATTTCCTTATTTGCCTCCAGAGATAACCTTTTTTTTTTCTTTCCAGATACTACTTCAATACACCTAACATTTCTCACCCTCCATCTTTCACTGACCAATCTGCTGACACGTCTTCTCTCAAACATCTAAATACATCTACTTCCTCCATACTCATTCCCTTCAATCTAATATTCAATCTATCATTGCCCAGACTTTGTTATGCTTATCACCTTCCTCTTTTCTACATTCACTTTGAAATTCCATTTACAAATCTTCCCAAAATCATCCATCAACATCTGTAATTTATTTTCAGAACTCTTAAAAGAACCATGTCATCAGGAAAGAGCAGCTGGGATGACTACAACTATATAGTATCAGATCTAACATCTTCCAATCCCACACCCTTTCCCAACATCCTAGCATTTACTTCTTTCACAACTTTCTTTCAACACACCGGCCGTATCCCACCAAGGCAGGGTGGCCCAAAAAGAAAAACGAAAGTTTCTCTTTTAAATTTAGTAATTTATACGGGAGAAGGGGTTACTAGCCCCTTGCTCCCGGCATTTTAGTCGCCTCTTACAACAAGCATGGCTTACGGAGGAAGAATTCTGTTCCACTTCCCCATGGACTTTCACAACTTCATCATTAAATATGTTAAATACTTGTCCCTCTTTAAGCTCTACTTTAACTGAAAAATAGCCCCCTTCCCTCCTATATACCCTAACCTGAGCCTCACTCTCTGCATAAAAACTAACTGCTTTTAGTAATCTACCTCCTATTCCAGATATCTGCAACTTCAACATGGCTCCCATATCCATCCTACCATACATCTTTTCTAAATCCATAAATGCAACAAGCAGCTTCTTACCCTTGTCTAAGCACTACTCACTTCTATACTTCAATGTAAACACTTGGTCTGCATAATGAACAAAGTTACCTACAACTAATCATAATACTGCTACTGCAAACAAAACTAGTATTATGCTACAACATTATGCCCTGGTCAATACCAATATCTATTATGCTACAACACTATGCCATGGTCAATATCTATATGCAATTCTTGTATTCTATCAACCCCTACACTATCTACTTAATCCTTTGGGGGTCGACAGGTCCTCTCAGAGACTTGTTCTCAGGGTCGGCCAAATTTCAAAAAAAAAAAAAAAATCTCATGAAAAGATAAGAGAATCTTTCCCGATCATAATGACACCAAAAGTATGAAATTCGATGGAAAACTTACGGAATTATGCTCTCGTGAAGTTAGTGGTCTTGACGATGTTTACGCATCAGAGATTTTGCCCACTTTGAGCCCTATTTTCGGCCAATTCCACTGTACTAGTCGACAACAATCATAACTATTTCGCTAGAACTCCATTTTTTCTATCGAATGTGTGCAAGAAACCACCCATTTACTGATTTCAACTATCCAATAAAGTGGTCAGAATTTAGCAATTTTGCCAATTTCACACAAATTTCAAAAGATGCCAATTTCCGAATAAGGTCCAGAATAAGCGAGAAAGACATTCTTGGCACTAAAACAACATGTTCTCTGTTCGTTAGTCACATCCCCAGGCCCCTCTTATATTTCTCTGGCTTTCAACTTTGAATTTTTATTCTTACAAAAAAATAAGAATTACTGTTATGCAGACTACTGCATTAGTGTAGAAATTGTATAAATAATATCAGCACACTTGTGAAAGAAAGCAAATGAGAGAGTGGGTGAGATGTTATCAACAAATTTTGTTGAAAATAAGAAAAAGTTTTGGAGTGAGATTAACAAGTTAAGAAAGCCTAGAGAACAAATGGATTTTTTTTTTTATCACACTGGCTGATTCCCACCAAGGCAGGGTGGCCCGAAAAAGAAAAACTTTCACCATCATTCACTCCATCACTGTCTTGCCAGAAGGGTGCTTTACACTACAGTTTTTAAACTGCAACATTAACACCCCTCCTTCAGAGTGCAGGCACTGTACTTCCCATCTCCAGGACTCAAGTCCGGCCTGCCGGTTTCCCTGAACCCCTTCATAAATGTTACTTTGCTCACACTCCAACAGCACGTCAAGTATTAAAAACCATTTGTCTCCATTCACTCCTATCAAACACGCTCACGCATGCCTGCTGGAAGTCCAAGCCCCTCGCACACAAAACCTCCTTTACCCCCTCCCTCCAACCTTTCCTGGGCCGACCCCTACCCCGCCTTCCTTCCACTACAGACTGATACACTCTTGAAGTCATTCTGTTTCGCTCCATTCTCTCTACATGTCCAAACCACCTCAACAACCCTTCCTCAGCCCTCTGGACAACAGTTTTGGTATTCCCGCACCTCCTCCTAACTTCCAGACTACGAATTCTCTGCATTATATTCACACCACACATTGCCCTCAGACATGACATCTCCACTGCCTCCAGCCTTCTTCTCGCTGCAACATTCATCACCCATGCTTCACACCCATATAAGAGCGTTGGTAAAACTATACTCTCATACATTCCCCTCTTTGCCTCCAAGGACAAAGTTATTTGTCTCCACAGACTCTTAAGTGCACCACTCACTCTTTTCCCCTCATCAATTCTATGATTCACCTCATCTTTCATAGACCCATCCGCTGACACGTCCTCCATACTCTCTCCCTCCAATCTGATATTCAATCTTTCACTGACAAATGGATTTGTCAGTTAAAAATAGGAGAGGAGAGTTATTAAATGGAGAGTTAGAGGTATTGGGAAGATGGAGGGAATATTTTGAGGAATTGTTAAATGTTGATGAAGACAGGGAAGCTGTGATTTCGTGTATAGGGCAAGGAGGAATAACATCTTGTAGGAGTGAGGAAGAGCCAGTTGTGAGTGTGGGGGAAGTTCGTGAGGCAGTAGGTAAAATGAAAGAGGGTAAGGCAGCCGGGATTGATGAGATAAAGATAGAAATGTTAAAAGCAGGTGGGGATATAGTTTTGGAGTGGTTGGTGCAATTATTTAATAAATGTATGGAAGAGGGTAAGGTACCTAGGGATTGGCAGAGAGCATGCATAGTTCCTTTGTATAAAGGCAAAGGGGATAAAAGATAGTGCAAAAATTATAGGGGGATAAGTCTGTTGAGTATACCTGGCAAAGTGTATGGTAGAGTTATTATTGAAAGAATTAAGAGTAAGACGGAGAATAGGATAGCAGATGAACAAGGAGGCTTTAGGAAAGGTAGGGGGTGTGTGGACCAGGTGTTTACAGTGAAACATGTAAGTGAACAGTATTTAGATAAGGCTAAAGAGGTCTTTGTGGCATTTATGGATTTGGAAAAGGCATATGACAGGGTGGATAGGGGGGCAATGTGGCAGATGTTGCAGGTGTATGATGTAGGAGGTAGGTTACTGAAAGCAGTGAAGAGTTTTTACGAGGATAGTGAGGCTCAAGTTAGAGTATGTAGGAAAGAGGGAAATTACTTCCCAGTAAAAGTAGGCCTTAGACAAGGATGTGTGATGTCACCGTGGTTGTTTAATATATTTATAGATGGGGTTGTAAGAGAAGTAAATGCGAGGGTCTTGGCAAGAGGCATGGAGTTAAAAGATAAAGAATCACACACTGTGCTCTTGGGAGATTCTGAAGAGAAGTTGCAGAGATTGGTGGATGAATTTGGTAGGGTGTGCAAAAGAAGAAAATTGAAAGTGAATACAGGAAAGAGTAAGGTTATGAGGATAACAAAAAGATTAGGTGATGAAAGATTGGATATCAGATTGGAGGGAGAGAGTATGGAGGAGGTGAATGTATTCAGATATTTGGGAGTGGATGTGTCAGCAGATGGGTCTATGAAAGATGAGGTGAATCATAGAATTGATGAGGGGAAAAGGGTGAGTGGTGCACTTAGGAGTCTGTGGAGACAAAGAAATTTGTCCTTGGAGGCAAAGAGGGGAATGTATGAGAGTATAGTTTTACCAACGCTCTTATATGGGTGTGAAGCATGGGTGAAGAATGTTGCAGCAAGAAGAAGGCTGGAGGCAGTGGAGATGTCATGTCTGAGGGCAATGTGTGGTGTGAATATAATGCAGAGAAATCGTAGTTTGGAAGTTAGGGGGAGGTGCGGGATTACCAAAACTGTTGTCCAGAGGGCTGAGGAAGGTTGTTGAGGTGGTTCGGACATGTAGAGAGAATGGAGCGAAACAGAATAACTCAAGAGTTTTACATCTGTAGTGGAAGGAAGGCGGGGTAGGGGTCGGCCTAGGAAAGGTTGGGGGGAGGGGGTAAAAGGGGGTTTTGTGGTGCGAGGGGCTTGGACTTCCAGCAGGCATGCGTGAGCGTGTTTGATAGGAGTGAAAGGAGACAAATGGTTTTTAATACTTGACGTGCTGTTGAGTGTGAGCAAAGTAACATTTATGAAGGGGTTCAGGGAAACCGGCAGGCTGGACTTGAGTCCTGGAGATGGGAATACAGTGCCAGCACTCTGAAGGAGGGTTGTTAATGTTGCAGTTTAAAACTGTAGTGTAAAGCACCCTTCTGGCAAGACAGTGATGGAGTGAATGATGGAAAGTTTTCTTTTTCGGGCCACCCTGCCTTGGTTGGGAAAACGGCCAGTGTGATAATAAAAAAAAAAAAAATAATTTGAAAGAATATTAGACTCACCAGTTGACGTGTAATTGGATGCTTGGCATGATTTGTTTACTTTTGAACTTCGGTAAAAATTGAACATTTCTGCTATTTTGAGCTCAATTTCAAGCTATTTTTCATTGTAAAACCATCAAAATCATCTAAATTTCTGTAATAGTCTCCATTCTATAAAATGAGCCCAAAAAACTAGAATACAACAAAAAAAAACCATACGAAAATACAGTGCAAAGTCGCTGTTTAACCCAAAAACACGTAAAATTTTTTTTTTTCTCATTATGCACTGTGCTCAGATTTTTTTTTATAGCACACACTAACCCATAGCCCCCATTTTTTCTATAAAGGTCTCCGCTTTCTTCACAAATCAGGGCGCTAGAATTTGGCGACTGAACTCAAAAACCGGTTTTAAAACTAGTACACCCAAAACCCCCAAAGATTAAATTTTTCTGCATCTACCCTACCCATATTTGAAAAAATATATAAAAAGGTTCATAAGGGCTGTCATATTGTTTTAAACTAAAACATTCAGAGGAAAATTGGGACTTTTTCTCAGTCCTGAGGTAAACAATACAGTGCCGACTCAAAGAAAGGTGCGATGTTAGAGGGCCAATGGAACGATTTTATCTCATTTTTGCCCAAACAGCTACTGAATAACAAAGGAAATGTTTTTTCTTTTTTTGTCATCCTAACTCAGTGGGGGTAGCCATTGTAAAAATACTTTTTTTTCACACGGCTGTCTCCCCTTGAGGCAGGGGGACCAAAACAGAAAAACACTTTTTCTATCATTCATACAAAAAAACTATCTTTGTAGAGGGATAGATAGAAATGACAGTTTATGTCACTCCCAAAAAGCAAAAATTCCAAACCCCTCCTTTAAAGTGCAGGGATTTTTTTCCACCTCCAGGGCTCGAGCCCGGTAACCGGGTTTTTCCCCAAAATTTATCACAAACTATTACCCGCTCACACCCAACAGCTCTAAAAAGCCAGGAGCAAGGGGGGGTAGTAATCCATTCTCCTATATAAAATTTTTAAAAATAAACTTCAGTTTTTCTTTTTTGGCACCTTTCCTTTGGGGGGATTGGCCTGTGTTGAAAAATATTATATTTTAACCACTGTAAAATTAATAGTGATCAGGCTCTGAACAAGGAAAAGGCAAGAAGCACCTGGGAAAAAATTTTTTTTTTTATTACACACTGGCCGATTCCCACCAGGCAGGGTGGCCGAAAAGAAAAACTTCACAATCATTCACCATCACTGTCTTGCAGAAGGGTTTTACATTTCAGTTTTTAAACTGAAACATTAAACCCCTCTCAGAGTGCAGGCACTGTACCATCTCCAGACTCAAGTCCGGCCTGCGTTTTCCCTGATCCTTCATAATGTTTATTTTGCTCACACTCCAACAGCACGTCAAGTATTAAAGCCATTTGTCTCCATTCACTCCTATCAAACACGCTCACGTATGCCTGCTGGAAGTCCAAGCCCCTCGCACACAAAACCTCCTTTACCCCCTCCCTCCAACGTTTCCAAGGCCGACCCCTACCCCGCCTTCCTTCCACTAGACTGATACACTCTTGAAGTCATTCTGTTTCGCTCCCTTCTCTCTACATGTCCGAACCACCTCGACAACCCTTCCTCAGCCCTCTGGACAACAGTTTTGGTAATCCCGCACCTCCTCCTAACTTTCAAACTACGAATTCTCTGCATTATATTCACACCACACATTGCCTTCAGACGTGACATCTCCACTGCCTCCAGCCTTCTCCTCGCTGCAACAATCATCACCCATGCTTCACACCCATATAAGAGCATTGGTAAAACTATACTCTCATACATTCCCCTCTTTGCCTCCAAGGACAAAGTTCTTTGTCTCCACAGACTCCTAAGTGCACCGCTCACCCTTTTCCCCTCATCAATTCTAGGATTCACCTCATCTTTCATAGACCCATCCACTGACACATCCACTCCCAAATATCTGAATACATTCACCTCCTCCATACTCTCTCCCTCCAATCTAGAAAAACAATGTTATAATATATACTGAACAATCTATTAACTTACTGCTATCATCTATTACTTCCATGTCCCAGGGACTTAGTCGCTCTCGCTCGCCATTGTCCCAGAGAACACGGTAACACATAAACATTGAATCTTGGAACTCGGGCAGGTGGGGCTCCTGGCTCTCCACTGTACCCAGCCACCAAGCATCATCAATGATACACCGGAATCTGTCACCTGTTAATTATAGGTAAATAAATTATAGCATTTTTAAAATGCACATTTCTTTTAACGAGTCCAACAAAATATTTCACAATTTGTAATGACCCTCAAAGCAACATCATTTACAACATCCTGTTCTATCAACATTATGCAAATTTAAAAAAAACAATGGGACAAAATGGTCATTCAGAGCTGTACATGAGAGATAATTGATACATGTCACTACAAAACCAGCATGCACACCAATATCCTACAGTCATTAAAAACACCCATTGAACCAAAGTTCTGAAACATTTATCCCGGGGAGTATAAGAAAAATCTAAAAAGCCAAAGCGTGGGAAAACAGAAAAAATGTATGCTACAGTCATCTGCACAAAAAATCACTTCAAAGGAAACCATGGGTGAGGTGTGTCCCTTCCACTTATCCTCAATTCTCTCAATTCTACCAAAACATGTACACAGCTTCTTGCTTGTCTACAGGGCTTACCATACTCACTGTTTCACAAGCTATTACTGCCTGATATGAGATGCTATCAAAGTTCCCCAAGGTCAAGTTTTTTTGTGTGCTTCCTGGGTAAAATATGGTGGTGGCATAGATCATGCTGCAAAGTACACTCCTTTGTCAAGTGGTGCGATGAGTTTCAGTGCAGTCATCATTCCGTTGAGGTTAGACAGGCATTTTTTGTCATGTCAGTGAATTGCTGTGACTTTTGTAACAGAATGGAATATTTAAAAGGAGAGAGTGTGAGTGAGAGAGTTTGAGAGAGTGAGTAACATTTGCACCTGAAAAACAAATGTTGATGGTCTCCAGGCACCATGAAGGTAATACCAGTGCAGTAGTAAGGATGAATGGGAGGGTATTGGCACCTGGGGAAGAAGTTGATATCCTTGGGGTAAAATTTAACTCCAAACTGACCATGAAGAACCACGTTGTAAATCTTGCAAACAAAGCAGTCAGGAAGCTTATAGCACTTCGTCATATCTTGCATCTGCTAGATAGTAGGGGTTGCAAGATTCTGCACGAGGCACAAGTACGCTCACACCTTGAGTATGCTCCATTTTCTTGGTTTGCCCCCCCCCCTCTCATTTGTGACCGCTTGACTGGATAGATCAGTCATTTCAGCAGAGCCTTCAACATAGGAGGGATGTGGGTGGCCTTACTGTTATGTACAAGGCCAATATTGTCAAAGTACCACACCTGGATCCACTTTGAGGGCAGTGTGAAACAAGCTTCTATACATCAAGACGGGCAGAAAGCACCAACTTTACTCTGGCTGTACCCTTCTCCAGAACATCACTTCATCTGAGATCATTTATCCCCAGGATGACTCGAGTATGGAACACATTCATACAGCATTATGTCAATGAGATAGAGTCAGTTGATCAAATGAAAATGCCGGCCCACAGATGGCTCCAACTTCATCCTGTTCCCTACTTGTATGTCTCATAACAAAAATGTTTTCAAACGAGCTGATGTAGGTAAAACCTCTCAGCTTGTCAATAGTTAGGAATCCTTAACCTGTAAATAGCTGGTCAATAAAGTTAGGGATCCTAAACCTAACCTTGTCAAACCCTGTGTAAAAAAAAGTGAGTGTGAGAGAGTGAGAGTGCGAGTGTGTGTGAGAGGTGTGAGAGAGTGAGTGTGTGAAAGAGTGAGTGTGTGTGTGAGAGTGTGAGAGTGTGAAGTGTGAGAGTGTGGTGTGGTGTGTGTGGTGTGTGTGAGAGTGAAGAGTGGAGTGAGAAATGAGAGTGTGAGAGTGTGAGAGTGTGAGTGTGAGAGAGTGTGAGAGAGTGTGATGTGAGAGTGTGAGAGTGAGAGAGGTGAGAGAGAGAGTGAGAGAGAGTGTGAGAGAGTGTGAGAGAGTGTGAGTGTGAGAGAGTGTGAGAGAGGTGAGTGAGTGTGAGAGAGTGTGAGAGAGTGTGAGTGTGAGAGAGTGTGAGAGAGTGTGAGAGAGTGTGAGAGTGTGAGAGAGTGTGAGAGAGTGTGATGTGAGAGAGTGTGAGAGAGTGTGAGAGAGTGTGAGAGAGTGAGAGAGAGAGAGAGAGAGGAGGGGAGAGAGAGGAGAGAGAGAGAGAGAGAGAGAGTGATAGTGTGAGAGTACTCACCTATGTGAGGTTGCAGGGGTTTGAGTCAAGCTCCTGGCCCCGCCTCTTCACTGGGCACTACTAGGTTACACTCGCCTGAACCGTGAGGCTTTATCATAAACCACTGCTTAAAGCTATGTGTGGAGTCCTGGCGGTCGACATACAGTTTCTTCCCAAACTAGACCACTTCCTGACTACCCGTGGCTGAAGAAATACTTCCAACATCCCTGTGATTCATCTGTGTCTTCAACTTCCACTGTGTCCCCTTTTTGTAGTGTCACATCTCTGGAACATCCTGTCTTTGGGCCACCTTGATCAATTCACTCAAATATTTTGTATGTCATTACATGTCCCCTCTATCTCTCCTGTCATTCAGTGGTCGCAGTTTGATTTCCCGTAACTCTCCTCGAGGACATACCTCTTAGTTATCTGGGATAGTCTTTGTTGCAAACCTTTGCAACTTTTAGCTTCTTTACGTGTTGGCAAGTGTTTGGGTCCAAACTGGTGGGCGCATACTGCAATGGGCCTAACGTTATACGGTATACAGGGTCCTGACAATATCCTATCAAGATGTCAGAAGTTGTTCTGAGGTTTGCAGGTGCCCACAAGCTGCAGCAGTTATTTGGTTGATGTGCTCTTCAGGAGATGTGCCTGTGTTACTCACCCCAAGATCTTTTTCCTGAGCGAGTTTGTAGTCTCTGGCCCCAGACTGTACTCCGTCTGCAGTCTTCTTTGCCCTTCCCCAATCTTCATGACTTTCACGAGGGGGGTTGAACTCCAGGAGCCAATGCTGGACAGGCTGCAGCTGTCAGATCCCTTATGGGAGTTCGCCCGGCTTGATCGAATGAATTTTTCTCATCAACTTCAGTCATCTGCAAACAGGGACACTTCGGAGTCTATTCTTCCGTCGTGTCGTTCACAAATACCAGAAATAGCAATGTCTAGACTGACCCCTGTGGGACCCCGCTGGTCACAAGTGCCCACTCTGGGACACCTACGCCACGTACGATGACTCACTGCTGTCTTCCTGACAAGTCTTTCCATGATCCATTTGTGTAGTGCCTTCCCTGTTATCCCTGCTTGGTCGTCAGTTTTTGCACTAATCTCTTGTGTGGCAAATGTGTCAAATGCTTCTTGCGTCCAGGGAAAAATGCCAATCCACACACCCCTCTCTCTTGTCTTACTGCTTGTCCCCATGTCATAGAAACTCCAGTAGTTTGTGACACATGATTTCCCGTCCCTGAAACCATGTTGGATGCTGTTGACGAGATCATCCTTTCTAGGTGTTCAACCACTCATTCTGATATCTTCTCATGAACTTGCATACTATACATGTCAGTGACACTGGTCGGTAGTTTAGTGCTCATGTTTGTCTCCTTTTTTTAAAGATTGGGGATACAACTGCTGTCTTCCATGCCTCAGGCAATCTCCGTGTTCGAAAGATGTATTGAATAGTTAGTAAATGGTACACACAGCGACTCTGCTCCCTCTTCAGGACCAGGGAGAGATGTTATCCGGCACCATTGCCTTTGAGGTATCGAGTCATTCTCACACTCTCACACACACACAGTGTGTGTGTGTGTGTTGTGTGTGTGTGTGTGTGTGTGTGTGTGTGTGTGTGTGTGTGTGTGTGTTGTGATGTGAGTGAGTGAGAGTGTGAGTGAGTGAGAGTGTGAGTGAGTGAGATGTGAGGTGTGGTGAGTGAGTTGTGAGTGAGAGTGTGAGAGAGAGTGGAGTGTGAGAAGATGAGAATGTGGTGTGAGGAATGTGTGTGATGATGTGTGTGTGTGTGAAAGAGTGTGAGAGTGAGTGTGTGAGAGTGAGTGTGTGAGAGTGAGAGTGTGTGATGAGAGAGTGAGAGAGTGAGATGAGTGTGAGAGGGGTGAGAGAGTGAGAGTGTGAGAGAGAGTGTGAGTGAGAGTGTAGAGGAGTGTGAGAGTGAGTGTGAGAAGTGAGTGTGAGTAGAGAGGTGAGAGTGAGTGTGTGAGAGTGAGAGTGTGAGAGAGTGAGATGAGTGTGAGTGAGAGTGTGAGAGAGTGAGAGAGTGAGAGTGTGAGAGAGGTGAGTGAGAGAGTGTAGAGGAGTGAGAGATGTGAGAGAGTGTGAGAGAGTGAGTGTGTGAGAGGTGGTGTGAGTGAGAGTGAGTGTGGTAGAGAGTGTGAGAGTGTGAGTGAAGAGAGTGTGAGAGAGTGAGAGTGTGAGTGAGAGTGAGATGTGAGGAGTGAGAGTGTAGAGAGAGAGTGAGAGAGTGTGAGAGAGTGAGTGAGGAGTGTGAGTGAGAGGTGGAGAGTGTGGAGAGTGAGAGGTGTGAGAGAGAGTGAGAGTGTGAGAGTGAGAGTGTGAGAGAGTGTGAGAGTGTGAGAGGAGGAGAGTGTGAGAGAGAGTGTGAGAGTGGAGGAGTGTGAGAGAAGAGTGAGAGTGTGAGAGAGAGTGTGAGAGTGAGTGTGAGAGTAGTGAGAGTGTGAGAGAGGTGAGTGAGAGAGTTGAGAGAGTGAGAGTGTGGAGAGAGTGTGAGAGTGAGGTGAGAGTGAGAGTGTGAGAGTGGAGTGAGAGAGTGGGTGAGAGGAAGTAGAGGTGAGAGTGTGAGGAGTGTGTGAGAGTGTGTGAGAGTGTGTGAGAGTGAGTGTGATGGTGTGTGTGTGTGTGTGTGTGTGTGTGTGTGTGTGTGTGTGTGTGTGGGCCATGTATAATTCTGTTTCTAGCTTGGTAAAATGAATAATAAAAAATCGCAAAATGTTTTCAACAATCATTTGGAGAAAAGAAGGGGGTTTTGAAACACATTTTTAAAAAAGGGTTTTTCCCCAAATTCAAAGTAGGACAAAAATAAAGCTGAGGGAATGAGGGACACTTTGGTCTTCCATCAACATAAAAAATAAACATGCCAACAGTGAAAAAGTGGAAAGGCTTTTTCCACAAAGTCATCAGAGTAC